GTCTAATACGTAAGTGCTTTTACAATAAAGAGTACGCAGCTTAATTTGCTCCGCAGCCCAAAAGAATAGTACTTATTCAATAATTGATGACTGCAAGAAAAATCAACAAACTATTATGAAATCCTACGGTTTGAAAAAAAAAAAAAAGGAAGACAATTGCTTTGTCAGCTTTCATATATGGTGTACCATAAATGTAGTATGGTACCGGATCGAAAATAGCTAGTCAGGCGACGAAAGATAAGAAGTTGACACGTGAAGAAACTTTCACTGCCAATCCCATTTAGGAGGAAATGGGACTATTCTTTTTCCGTAAACAGATGGGACGTTGATGATGGAAAAGTCTACCCATGGCTGCAAACCAGAACTGAGATCATACTCGTAGAAATCTCAAGTACATATAGATCCTTCTCTGCAAAATACTTGCCAGTTTCTTGATTCCCCCTGATGCATATTTTAGATTTGAGAATATAAAATCCAGTTCCTCGCCGAAAAAAAGGAAGAAAAGGGAAGTACTAGATTATATCTGTGTATATATATAGATCCTGTCGGAATTTGGCCCAAAGCATGAAGATGAATCAGCTAATCCTAACACTTGCCTTATTAACAACCTTCAACCTCCTACAACCTCCTTTGACAGATGCTATAACTAAAGGAAGGTTGGCTACAGTTCTAAGCATAGACGGAGGGGGTATCAGAGGCATCATTCCCGGCACCATTCTTGCTTTCCTGGAAGCCAAACTTCAGGTATTTCAGATAATCATGTTTTGAATTTTTAAGTATACAACATAAAACCCCATTTACAACCAATCTAAGTTTGTAGTAGTACTTAAAAGTACGTCATACTTGACTGTTTGGTAGGAACTCGATGGACCGAATGCAAGAATCGCAGATTACTTTGATGTAGTTGCAGGGACTAGCACAGGTGGGCTTGTCACCACCATGCTCACTGCCCCAAATAAGGACAGCCGCCCTCTTTACGCTGCCAAAGACATAACCAGCTTCTACTTGCAAAACTCCCCCCAGATCTTTCCCGAGAGCAGGTATACAAGATAACCAAAAACTTAGTAAGACCAAAACTTTTTAGTTCCTCGAAATTCAGATTCCTTTCAAAAGAAAAAAAAAAAATTTCTGCCTCTATTTTATTGTTGAACGTTTGTGTAATCAATCAAGCCGCAAGGACGTGGTAAAATCGCTTACAAATTTGTTGGGAGGACCAAAGTACGATGGCAAGTACTTGCACTCGTTGATAAAGAGACTATTGGGCAATCTCACCATGGAAAACACGTTAACAGACGTGGTCATACCCACTTTCGATATCAAGCGCCTTCAACCGATTATCTTCTCCACAATTGACGTATGGTCCCTGTAAACTAGTAGTGCTATAAAAGACTTTACTGATGGATGCTAGATCACACTAACGTGCCTGAATATACTTTTAAGCAGGCCAAAGCAAATGCTTCTAAGAATGCTCTGCTATCAGATGTCTGCATCAGCACTTCCGCAGCACCCACCTATCTTCCACCGTACTACTTCGAGACCAAGGACGCACAAGGGAACACACGCAGCTTTGATCTCATTGATGGAGGAGTTGCTGCTAATAATCCAGTCAGTATCTCTATCACCATGTGTTGCACATCTTCCCTCTCCTTAATTTAGCTGCTTATAGAAGAGACTTGCTTTCTGGTACTTATAAAGCTGTCTAAAAGGAGCTGATTTATTTATATTTTTTTTCCTTTGAAATAATATAATTCTCCATAGACTCTGATGGCCATAACCCATATTTCCAAACAAATTTTGACGGGCCAATTTCAATTGACGGATTTGAAGCCCATGGAGAGCAATAGAATGCTGGTGTTGTCGCTAGGCACAGGAATGGCCAAAAACGAGGAAAAATACACTGCCGCAGCGGCTAACCAGTGGGGGTTGCTGGGATGGGTATACAGCAATGGTGCCACGCCGCTGCTGGATGTTTTTGGTGCTGCAACATCTGATATGGTTGATATACACGTTTCAACCCTCTTCCAATCACTTGGCAGTGAGAAAAATTACCTTCGCATCCAGGTAACCAAACAAACACAAAGCCAAAATAACAAGTGCCGTGCTAATTAATAATAATAAGTTTCCATATACCCGTGACCATATTTTAATGAATGTTAGCATCAAACCACAACACGAGTGCATGCTAATTGAGGCCACTTGGTCTTTGAATAACAGGAAGAGGGATTGACTGGGGATGCATCATCAGTTGATGTCGCAACCACGGAAAATATGGAGACTCTAGTCCAGATTGGCAACAGCCTGCTGAAGAAGCCAGTGTCGAGGGTGAATTTGGAGACCGGAAGATCTGAGGCTGTTCAAGGAGAGGGCACCAACGAAGAAGCTCTTACACAATTTGCCAAGCTGCTTTCGGATGAAAGGAAGCTCCGACTAGCCAACTGACGATTCTCGTCTTAGAATGTTTTATTAGCATTTTTTTTGGTTTTGTTTTGTAGGCATTTTACTAGCATCCAAAGGATTAATATCCTTTTCTCGCCGGGCTAAAAAATTCCAAGCATTCATTTCTCTCTCAGATGGTTGAGAGATCATTAATTGCTCGATTCTTACGCATGTCAAAATTTATTTTTCACTGAATTTTCCCACAATGAGTTTCAGTGTATTACCAACCAAAAAAAAAAAAAAAACCAAACTCATAATTGACGCAGGTATCAATATCAATTTGCTCAAAAGTAGGAGAGTTCGCTAGCATCGGGCTTAGAACAAAACATCATTACCAAAAAAAATTATGAGCTAAGATACGTGAATATGTTTTGGAAATATCTAGTAACTAATGCCATGTAATATAAAACTTACCGATTAATGGAATAAAACAAAAAAGTTTAGCAGGAAAAAGATGGTGGAGAGTTTGAGTCAGATCAAGAGTAAGTACTCGATCAAATGTTACTTGGCTGGGCTGGCGTTCTTACCCTATAAAACTTTTGATTTTGTGAGGAACGCTATGGAAAAATCGAGTTGAGTTACCAAACAGATTTTGTACAGTGTCAACCCACTCCCAGGCCCAGGGTGAGTGGTGGGCCTAGTGGCACATCTCTGTCGCAGGCCAATCTCATTTTCAAAAGACACGCAAAGGTAAATGCATAGTAAAGGTGCGTTTGATAAAATTAAAATATAAAATATAAAATTTAAATTTATTAAATTATTGAATTGTTAAGTATTAAATTTAACATAATTGAATACATATCACATTCAGTGAAAAGTGAATAATTTAACACTTAATTTTGAGAGCAAGTTTTACCTAAAAAATTCAATGCCAATTAATTAATTCAGATACTCAATTTTTAATTATCGAACAATTTAAATATATTAAAATCTAAATTTATTAAATTTAAATGTTAAATTAACTTATCAAACAGGCCTTGGCGACATCAGCGCCAGGCTGCATGTTCCCCGTCCCCCTAAACCCCACCGCACCACATCTCCAGTCCCCAGCCAGAAAACATTTGTTGTTTCTGCCCTTAAAAAGCAAATAAAATCGCAAGACGCTTATTGTTGTCAATTGTTTAATCTGCTTAGTATCAGTAACCAACGTCTTTAGACGAATGGCTAAAAGGGGGTTCGAGCTAGCCAAACCAATTCATTAGGTAATAGCTGATTCGGGGAAATTAAAGAAAGCATAAGACAGATGATGCTGCCCCGGCCGACTGACTGGCATCTTGTCCTACGTAAATGTTGAACCAAAATTCTAACGGCTAGCGTCCGATCCCAAAACCTACAAAACAAGGCGATATCCCCAAAGCTCCAAACCCGCTTAAGGAAAACAAATCCTAAGATCCTCAGAAGCTCATGTCGAGTATTGTTCATCGAATATTTATGGAACCTGTCAATTCATCGTAGTCCAATCTCGCAGGGAACCAAACAGAAAGGAAAAACCAATAAACAAGGTTGCTCTACGTCCACGCATTGGAAACGAACTCAGCTCAATTCAACATGAGTACCTTTCTTCATAAGCGCAAAAGCTAAATGGACTCCTATGGCGAAATGGAGGATCAGTCTGAAGTGAAGGAAGGAAAACCAGGAGAAACTATTGGGACCTTAATGGGTGCCAAGATGGCAGAACTACAAAAACTGAAGGAGAAACTCACGAAGGCTAAGGATGAGGCGGTACAATCCTGGTTAGATTCCAGACCTGTGATTGATGAGCTTGAAAAGCTACAGTCAGAACTTGCAGATGCAAAGAGCCGAACATCCCCATCCAACGTTGCTATTTCAGAGCTCGAGTCTCAGCTTGAAAGGTTGAGTATCTCTATCAGGGCTAAGAAGGAGGAAGAACTGAAGATCCGAACAATGATCAACAGGATAAATCAGGTCTTGCAACAGACGCAGGAAGAGATGGAGGAGCTCAAGATGGAAAGAGACGAAAAACACAGAACAAGATTGAAACTGAAACAAGTTCTACGTCTAAGGAGGCAGACTCTTCGCACTTTGCAACTCACCCTTAGAGCAATACGATTTGAATCAGAAGCTTATGCTGCATCAGCTCATGAAGCACAACGCTACATCAGCCTTTTCCAGACAGATGACACTGTGGTCAAGCTTACTCAAGAAGAGTACCATGCGTTAACAAAACGAGTTAGAGACGAAACTTCGCTGGCAGAATGGCGAATTGCAGTCTCTATGGAACAAAAACAGGCAGCCGAGGAAAGTCAAGAGACAGCTGCCAGAAGATTGCAGAACTTGTGTTCAAAGAATGGATCAAGCAAAAGGAAACATCCTGCTCATGGGGTCATTAATCAACATACTGCAGCAGAAGGGGAAGAACAAGAGCAAAATCTCAAGGCAAGATTCCACTCCAGAAATGGACAAAACAGTCTCCCAAAAGTTCAGGTCAACTTACAGGCCAAATCTAGCCAGAGGCAACCACAACAGAGCTTTAAAATATCAAGAAGTAAAAACAGCTATCTGTCCAAGAAAAAGAAATTATCCACATTTTGCGGAATAAGAGCTTTGGTAGTCAAGATCAAAACATACTTCAGATGATGTCAGATGCATACATGTACTTGCGATCTACTTGACACATAACATCGCTTTGAGTTCAAGTCTGTATAATTATCCCTATTTGGTGTTTGAAATTTCATGTTTGTGTTCAAAATAACTCGAACTCCACAAAAAGACTGCCTGTATAGAAGAAAGAAAATGATTTGCCATGTTACTATTGAGAGCAGAAACAAATGTACTAAATTTCATATCTTGTGCAATTCAGTATGTCCAGCAGCAATGTCAGAGGGAGAAAAGTAGAGGCCAGAGCACAAAAAGTCATCTTCTGAAAGAAACAAATAACGATCTTCACGTTGACAAAAGTAACTACAGGTGAAAGTACCTGATTTCAGTTGTTAATCAATGTATCCTAGCATGTACAGAAGACCTGACAACTGTTGAATACTGCCTGCAAATGAATTTGTAATTCAAAATCTCCATCTATCCATGTCAAGAAGAGTATCCAAGAAATCAATTCAAATTACCATTCATCTGCATTTAGCTCATCTGGAACATTCTTGAGTAAGTCTTTTTCTCCCTGTCACGTCTATCAGCAACCTGCAATTTGAGAAGCCCTTTTGGGAGTCGGATTACATTTTTGTATTTGGATATTTTGACAAGAAAGACAATGTCTAGCATGAAGCTGTTGATATCAAGATTCAAATTCACTGGCCTTTTTCCTTGCTGCTGCAAGCTCCTTCTTTATTCCACCTGAAAACAGTATGTGTAATGCAATTATTGATCATTTATAGGAGACGGTAGATATTTTAACGTACTACCTCTAAGCATAAATTTAACCCTGCTCTTTCAGATTAGTCATCTAATTGCTGTTGACCCGAAATACAAACCTTCACAAAATCTATGGATATTATTACATTCTAAACAAATTTTTTTCTGCTAAAGCCAGATAATATCAACTATTTTCCAACAGTGGAGATTTGCAAGTTGAAAAAAAAAAAAGAAGTTTAATGTCTAACTATCCATCTAGTCATATGTCTGGAATAAATCTACGCAGGACTGAAATATTTCAATTAGTGCGTCAAAACTCAATACAGTTATCCAAAATTTGGTCTTCCATTTCATGAACATCTATAGTGTATGCTATTTACCATCATTTGGCTCCAAATCCAGTGCCTTCTTGAAACTTTCAACTGCTGCATCGATGTCGTTGAGTGCCATGTATGCCTGAGAATTTAGTGAGGACAGATTAAAGGCCTTCAAAACAGTTGATCAAGTGCAAATGTCTACCCAGCTGAAGTAGATCAATCTACAAAAGAAATAGTGCAAGCCATACATGCTAAAACATGGCATATAGATGACGCAGATAAGGATATACATATAAAACACAAGTGAGAATGCACACAAGCAGCAAATAGTTATGAATAAAATTTGACCACTCCTTCTTAAAAGTTCTCTCATACATTCCTGTGTTTTTTTTTTGGAGGGGGGGGGGGGGGGGGGGGGGGGGGGGAGGGGGAGGGGGAGAGGAAATTTTCATTATTTTAATTGAATACTGGTTTATCTCAAGTCTCAACAACAGGTAAATACTTATCCTGTTCAAATCTGTCTAATCTTTACAAAAGAGAAAATATTGCTTAAACTACATTATAATCACCAGCAAGAAAGAATGCCAAGTTCTTTATAGTATGGCAAGCAACCTAAATGGTGAAAGCACAGCAAGCAAATACTGCAAATAAGCGGCAAAACATTGCAATTAAATGGATGAGAGTAAAAGTTGAGAAAGTTAAAAAGACAAAATGGTTAGTTTTAGCCTATTTTAATTAAAGCTACTGAAACCACTGACCTGACCTTGGCGATAGAAAGCTTTTACATTGTCATCTGCATCACGAATGGCAAAGTCTGCATCTAGCAATGCTCCTTTAAGATCTCCTAACTTCAACTTGCAGGCCTGGAGAGGAAAAGTAAAGACATTGGCAGAACAAAATAGAACACTGACTTTGTTATTTCTCAAGATACTTTCCAATACAAAAAACGGAGTGGGTAAATGCTTCACATGCATTTAATTTATATGCAACTAATGCAAGTGGCAGTGTTCATATTCAACTAGGATACAATAAATATTTAGGAAAATAAAAAGTGTGGACAAAGTACACGCACGCACACACGTGTGTGTGTTCCTCTGTGTGTATGTGTATGTATACAGCAATTAGAGTCTGACGTATAAAAGTTTAAAACCACATAGCAGCAGTTGAAAATTTCTATTGTTTATTTAACAAGAATTCTGCTATTTGTATTTTTAGGTTTAGATCAAATTCTGAAAAGACAGCCATTGAACAAATATATGAGAATAGTGGAGTTTTATACACAAGTAAAGTAGAGGATGCTCCTTGGTTAGAAGTTCAGCATTTGAATAAGAATGTGCTGTTGCACAAACTAGTTGGAAAAAAAGATGTTGGAGACATTCTCAACACATGAGATACTTTCAGTATCAAATTATGCTGACAGATGGTACACCATAAGAAAATCTTAATCAACCATGTTGCTTGTGATACAAATGTTGCAATGTTGAAATCAGTAAAAAACTGCTGCACAAAAGGAAAAAGAAGAAAGGAAGCAAAATAGCTCAGCACTGGTGAGATGTTTTGAATAGTTGATGGAACTTGGATAGCATAAATTAATCGTTCAACCAGGACAACAAAAGAGAGCATTTAAATCGCATGTAGAGAACTGAACTAAGGTTGCAGTAAAGACAAAAATTTAGTCAGAATTCTGTATTTTCGTTAGAAAGCAAAGCAAAGTATCCCAATTTTCAAAGTACTAGCCCAGTACAAATGTACGTTATGGTTGAACAATTCAAAAGATGCTACCAGCCAAATTTGAATATGTGGATAGTAATTTTGAATAATATTGTATGAAGATCTTCAAGGTGTACAATCGTCTTGAAAATTTGATACATTGTCAGTTAACTTGGAGCAATTACAATTCAGACATCACGGTAAAATAACTTACAGAACAATTAGTAAATATCTGAGACTTGGTCTTCTTCAGGGAATCACTTTTCTCTGTCCAATCACACAGTTACAAAAGTTAGAAGGACTTGTCATCTGGTGATTCCTAGTTTCTGCTTGTCAAAAGTTTTAACTGTCATTGGGCAGAGAATGAAGTAACTAACCTTCATCAACATCATCCATTTCCCAGCATGTATTCAAATAGCGAAGAGCCTTACAGTACTTTCTGTGAGCCATTTTGAAGTCTTGCTTCTGTATCAGAGTAGTTAGGCCATCCAGTAATATGCAAAATAAAGAAGGCTTAAACAAATATAAAATACAGGCCGATGATCTAATTTGGTGGCATAGGTGAAGGATAATGTGGCCTATTTGGAGAAATTACACAAAAAGCTGTCAAGTAAATGGGAATGTTATTGTACTTTCTCGTTTCACAAAGCTAACACCTAAGCAAATACTGAAAGACCAGCATGCTTAAATTTACACGGCTATTATATGATGAATAGGCTCTTAACTAGACGTGTACCTTAAATCTTTCATTTCCAAAAGCTTTTACAGAGTCTACAGCGGTCATCCACCAAGAAATGTCATCTGGTTTCATGCTTAGATCAGCTGGCCAATCAGGATAACAGTCACCATCTTTGAAGAAATTAGATGTCCCATCATCTGCACCTTCAGGAATTTCGCCACAATCAGCTATCATGACATCAAGAGTCGGATAATAAGCCTCCGTCGTGGTGACATGCTCAATTGAACGAATCACGCCCAATCCCTTGATTACTCTCCCGAACACAACATGCTTTCCATCCAGATGAGAGGTTTGAGTTGTAGTGATGAAAAATTGAGAACCATTAGTATCGGGACCAGAATTAGCCATGGATAGCATCCCTTTCCTTTCGTGCTTGAGTTTAAAATTTTCATCTTCAAATTTCAAGCCGTAGATGGATTCACCACCAGTTCCATTTCCGGCAGAAATGTCACCACCTTGTACCATGAAACCCCTAATAACACGATGGAAACAAGAGCCCTGCATCCATGAAACCACACCTTTCTTTTAAATAATTTTTTCCAGTTAGACAAACATTCAGAAACGACATAATTTTAATTTTTTTTGCCCAGTGACTTCACTTTGTCAGAGAATTACTTACCTGTTTGCAGACATTCTCTGCTACTCAGACGGAGCCTAAAGGTGGGAGTTCCTCACTATAACTTAAGCCTTTTAGACTTGATTTACCGATTTTTATATTTTCGGCGATGCTATCTTTCTGTACTAACTTTTTGGTTAATAAAATATGCAGATAATCACAATGTGAAACAGTAGAATGCAAAGCCGTCCACTCGAAACAACATTTACATCACAAACACGCGAACTGCACAGGTTCTAAAAACAAAAAAATGCAAGCTTGTAACTTCATATGACACCACCGAACTTGTAAAAAAGCTCGTAACGAAATTGAAATTTCTACTTCGGTATTAAAACGGAAGCAAGTAAGTCGAAACTCGAGAAATTATGTCATAATAAATATAAAAACTTAACTATTTTAGTTGTATTTATTTCATCATGTTGGATTGTGTTCAAATAATTTTTGTTTGATTGTTTTTATGAGTTTTAATTATAAAATTAAAATGAATAATAACTTAATGATGTGTTGATATTTTAATACTTGATTATTTATTAAAATTTAATTATAATAAAATTTTATTAATTCAGCAGAAAAAATTTTATTAATCTCACGGGTGGCCCGCAGGTAAAGCGGGACGGGACGGGGGAAGTGGGAGACGGGGGGCGGGGCGGGGCGGGGCGGGGGCGGAGGGACTTTGTAGGTAGTGGGGTGGGGGAGGGGTCCCCCACCCCGTTGCCATCCCTATGCATAACTTGTATTATCATAACCAGCTAGAGGTCATGTGAAGAAGAAGAAAATTCCCTGTCAAAGTGCATTTCTTTTCTTTATCACTTCCTCGCCATAATTGGCTCGTGCATAAATTATCACGACCGCTGTCTCAAGAAAAACCAACCAAGCCGGGTCCTGGTGGTGGCGTGGAACTGGTAATAGACTGGTCCGTAGGAATAGGATAAGAATTGAGCTTACAGGATTTCAGCCTTAAGCCCGGACACCGTACAGGAGACCTCCAACCATACAGCGGGCTTTTGTCTGTCTCCTGCAGCGGACTTGTCATTTGACTACTGGAAAAAGTAGGACTGCTGCCTTTATAGCACTGCCTATGGCTATGGCGCGTGGACTACTATTCCTGCTGGGACGTTGATATGGATACAAGCAAGGCCTATGGTTTCGGGGCTTAAATGGTAGTACTACTACTACTACTACTTTTTGTGCAAAATGAGAACACGGCGAGAGCGAACAACTATTGGTCTTTTCGCTAAAAAATTATTAAAAATAAAAATTTTTGACTCAAACTCAATAAGGCTCACATTGACTCGAGCCAATGCGAGTCAAGTTCCAGTTCTGAAAGCAATCATCGAACTCGAACTCGAACTCGAGTTTCAATAATACTATTCGCTCGAACATTCTTCTTGCATAACGAGTCGAATTCGAGTATAGCTTTAGTACGGTGATATTCGAATTCGATTCGACTCGATTACATCTCTAGTATGGTTTCAATCTCAAACTCAACTGACACGTAAACAAAGCATGTGTTCTATGGAAAATGGATAATTTACTAATGCATCTGGAAAATGCAACTTTGGGGGATTTATAACAAAAGAGGCATTAATTCCAAAAAAAAAAAAAAAAAAAGCACCATGAAAACATAATTGACAACCATTGATGATTTACAGGAATTGAACGACATTTTTCTAGTTCACAACTCTACAATTCTTCCTTATTTGTCCATCCTGCCCCGTCAGCACACCAATATTGCCCATCTTTACCATTGACACCCCAAAGTCCTTGGAGAAGAGGAAAGGGAACTTGCTGTAGTAGGAGACCATTGCAGCTGTAGTGTTGTCGCTCATAAGAACTTGGTCAGACCCAAGAAGCCCAGAGTTGTTCACGAGATTCTTGTAATAGGAGTTGTCGAACTTGCTCACGCTGGCTGCGTCCAGTGGAGCCAGATTGGAATCGGAGCTGGCTTCATTTGGACACAAGCCACGCAAACTGGTTAGAAGCGTTGCGTCTAGAGTTGGATCAGGATTTCCCGCCCCATCAAAATTAAATAGCCTCGGCTTGAAGGTGAAACATTGAGCGAACCCAATGGTGTGTCCACCTGCAGGTTGAAATTGCAAATTTCGAAGAATTAAAGGATTAAGCTTTTTTGCATTAAGGTATTATGAAAGGAGGTATCATGTCAGGACAATTGAACTTGATGATTCCCCCCAAGGAAAAAAAAAAAAAAAGAGAGTACCTGAAAGCACGACCACGTCTTTCATATCGAGTCCCTTGTCAGTAAACTTTGCGGTGATGTTAGCCAGGGACTCGAAAGGTGAGGGTAGCTGTGTGTTGGCCGCGCCTTCACTGGCAGTAAGGCCGTCTCGGCGGCCCAGAAGCACCGGCCAATACGGCCCTCCTGCCTGAGAAAATTGGTGTTATGTGCTTGGGTAAATTTATTAGGAGAAGAACATTGATCAAAGAAATGCAAATGGAAGTGGAACTCAGAACAAGGAGAAGTTCCTTACAAGGTAGACGGCTTCTCGAGCAGCAAGTGCCAATATATCAGCGCAAGAAACAGTGGATGGACAGGCTTTCTCCACATTAGCCTTTATTGCATCAATGACTTCAAATCCTCTAGCTGAATTCTTATTAGGAACTGCATTCTTCTCCCCCTTTATTGTGCTGCTATCGTCCAGTAACACAGATCCCTCGCACCCCTTTACCACCAAACGTAATCTGAATTAACCATCAAGCTCTAGAGACTTGTGCAGGCAAAGTTCTTTACTGTGAATTCAAGATTATTCTTAAAGTACCATTAATGCGGATAGTAATTAGTAATAGCATCAGTTGATCCTGACATATTATGTAACTCGTTCAAGACAACATTAATTTCTTCTTTCGTCACACAAGAATGAAAAATTTTGCTGTATGCTCAGTTCCTTCTTTAGTTGAAATTTTTGGCGTCTTGATGCGGATGGAAATTCGCTTCAGTGATTTGTTTTTCCCTTATGTTTTGTAGTTAGTGGTGTTCAATGTGCACGAACGTGAGGAAAGTATACGAGATAAGAAGTGTGATCACATTAACAAAACAGTCATGAAAGTGCAGGCGTAGAATAGAGGCAGCCATTCGAGTTTCGTTGTAGATGGCAGACCAGACACCATAGCGAACGATCCTGGTTAAGTTGGGACAAGCATCATCGTAAAACTTGTAATCAAGTTGACCATGAACAGAACAACACAGAAAAAAGATGCAGAACCAAGCAAAAGTTGAGGGTCTATAGGCAACTATTCTACTAGGACTCATATTTCGGTGGCACAAGCGCAATAAAACTCGGATTCGAAAGTTAATTGGCTGTGCAGATGAAAAGGAAAATCTGTCCAATTTATAACGGAAGGGAGCAGCTCGTTGTAATATGCATGCTCCCTCACAAAGAATTGAGAGCGGATAGTGGCAAGGTCACTAAGAAGTAAGATGTCACTTTCAAGTTCCAGTTTTTCAACCCAGTTGGGCGGAACGCCACAACTTCTCTCATGGGAGTGAAGATAACAGTCAGCAGTGCACCACCTCAAGGTGTTTTAAGTATACAAATCCTGAGTGCTGGGATGAGGCATATATTTCTCCACAATACACCGAGTCATCAATAATAGACTATCTTCCTACATAAATCAAACCTCAAGATTCAGTCGGACATAAAAAAGTTTTTCTACGGGGAAAAACTGGGATGCTGGTGCTCTGCATTTGTCTCCCCAATTATTGCGCTGAGAGAGCTGTACCGACCGAGCTCTTTTCATCATTAAAAGGACTACTTTTTTTTTTGCACTAGCTAAGTAGACTGGATGACGAGACGACGAAGACTTAATCTACGCAGGTAAGAGCAGCTCGTCAACCTGTGGCCTGTGCAGTGCTGAAATGCTGCTTTTTCCTGACTGAATCATTTCCCTCCACATTTGTTACTACTATGGTAGTGACTTATCTGTTCAGAATCTAGAAGCGCTGCAATTTGCAACTTACCTGTTAAGAATCTAGTTGCATCAATATATCTTCTGCTCAAAACCAAAACGATCAGCGAATGAGATGAAAGATCTCGCTGATGTGCAAAGAGAACAGGCCAATAATCATATGCGACTATGTTGGAATTGTGCAAATATTCAGGTCAACTGGGAGATTTTTATTAATGCAGACGCACCATCGCATCGAGGGACATTGGATGTGGTTCAGTTTCTTGCTATTGTGACCACTTTGATTAATTTAAAAGTGACCATGACGGCCGGGATATGTAGAGTGGCCACGAAAAATGTTGATAATTTGTTGGTATCGTGTTTTGTTCCAAATGAGACACAGAAAAAAGTACTCCAGTAGTTTATACTGCACTCTTATATCTCGAGTCATGTTACATGTCTCTTATCAAGTTTTGCTTGCATGGCCACTAATTTCAAGAGTGGTTTTTGAAAAGTCAGTTGTGCTATGTTCAAAATAGCCTCAACATCCACTCTTGATTCATTAAGCACGTGATTTTCAGTGGTTGAGCATTATTTCGGATTAGGGTTATTATTTAGTTTGACGAACAGAGATATATATAGATCGAACTTTTAGGCTTGGTTTGGGAGTTTAGGACAGAAAAGAGAAGAAGGGAAAACTTAAGTTAGGAGAGAAGAGAAGAGATTGTTATGTTATTTAGGAGTTTTGAGAATTAGTGGAATGATTTTGAACATAAAAGTCATTAAATATTTGTTCAAGATATTTTTAAGGATAAAATAGGTATTTTAAAAAATTTTCACAAGCTTCCTCTAACTTTCTCTCCAATTTGGGAGGAAAAATTTTGCCTACTATTCATCCTTCCATTTCCTTTCTTGTCTCTCTTACTAAAAACTCACAAACAAAAGAAAATCAAACTCTCTCTTTTTTCCCTTTCTTTTCTGTTCAAATCCGCAACTCCCCCAAATGAACCCTTACTCTCAGTTCGCAGATTAGAATTTAGATGGCTGGAGTAACTCCAGCGGACTGGTAAAAAAAGGGGGCCCAATAGGAAGTTTGGGCTAAAATCGCTACTCCAACAG